AACCCTGAGCCGGTGAGATTTGAACAGCCGAACTGCAGAACTGCAGTCAGCTGAAGTAGCCTGCAGTGCTGCATTTAACCACTGCGCCACCTCGGCTCTGTAAGAAGATTGAGTAGAAGGCTGTCTGGGTTCCTAAGATTTTGAAAACATTCATTTAGCCTCTACACCTTAGGTTTCCTACTATTTGACATTTATACTAGTTCCTTTTTTATTTTTTGAAAAGTATTTCTGTATTAATCTCCATGTTCCAATATCTTTATAGCACCTACCAATCTCACAAGCAAGCAGGAAGTTGCCCTCCATACTGTGTTTTCTCTACAAATGATATGAAACCATTGCTTTGCTAGCATGAACAATTAAGAGAATACAATTTGTATTTTTTGTGTGTGTGCAGAAGCTGAGGTGTTAATATGGCTCGTATTACACTTGAAGAACTAAATGAAATGGATGATGAGATCCAGGATGAAGAACAAGAACAAGATGAAACAGAACAAAACAGGCTGTTTTCTATGTGGGAAACAGTAGCCAACACTCATCAAGTGATACTTCCTCAAGGCAAAAAAATGACTTAACTTTTTAGTAACTGCATATTGATATACTTTACTTGCAAAGTAGAGAGAAGGTAGAAATTTTTCACCTACAGGGCATAACATTTCTTCATGCCTTTGCAGACCTCCTATGACAACATTGCATTTCCCCCCTCCCCGTCCTCAGACCACAGGTTAAGAACTGCTGATTTAAGACATTAATCGAAAGCTTTGAGAATCAATTACAAAAATAGACTGGGGGAAAACCAAGTAATGACATTAAACTTGAAAAGATAAACATAGGGTGCAAAAAAAAATCCACAAAATAGGAATAACCCATGAAAAGTCCCATTCCCTAATGGATACCAAGAAAGTAAGCAAATAGAAAATGCAAAAAAAATGAAAAAATAGAAAATAAAGAATTTATATAAATTTAGTAAAGAAAAGAAATATATAAAGAAATGAATTCCCCTTCATTACAATAAGAATTAAACAATTTTAGTAACTTATCACCTCTTATACAACAAATGATCTTGTTTAACCATGTCCTACCTCTCATCTATAAACAAATCCCTAAAGTCTCATCATTTGGATCTGGTCAGCAAAAGTCCATTAAGGGTTACCAGAAATAACATATTTTAATATAATTTAATAGAAAATAACATATTTTAACTTTGATCAAATCAACCAACTTTATATTCTTTCTTTTAACTATTAACAATTCTATCTTTAGTCTGTTCTAAGAGTGTCTTAGAACTTTATTTTATTTTTTTCTTCATCCCTTCTCATAAAATTCTTCAAAATTTTAAAAACAACCATAGTACTTATAAAAGCTTTACAATTTTTTGTAAATCCAATATAGGAAAATTATTCAGATCACTCTTTTGATTTGTTTTTCGTATACGTTTTAATTATTATCAGCTAGTTTCTTTTGTATATCTAGTGCAGCATTATTTTTCATGTCATTCTTGTAGTCTGTCATTTTTAAATCCACTTTCAGATGAGTCTCAGACTTGTCCAATAAACATCTTCCATCTTTTAAACACAGTATATCTATAGAGATAGACACTCTTAAAATTAAAGAGTTGAAAATTAACTGTTCAAAATATCCTTCAACATATCCAGTTAGATATGTTAAAATCATTTTCTCCATTCTGTATTAATCAACTTTAAATATTCTTATCCTTTAATTCTAATGTGTTTAGTTCCTTCTGGTTTCCTCTAATGTCTTCAGCTTCAATCTACTTTTTTTTAAAGAAAATTTCGAACAAAAGATTTCTTATGATATTAATTAAATAATTGCAAAATCTTATTTCAAATTCATTCATAACTTACCAGAATCAAAATTTTAATCAGCCTTTTGCTGTTTATTTCAAAATATTTTGAAGTACTTAACATTTAAATTTAAAACTTGTTTTGTAAGGATTGAAGGGAATTCAATTCTGTAAAACTTGTTAATCCAAAACTTCATAGTAACTGAAAAACATAACATTTTCTGAAAGTGATAATAAAAAGAAGTACAGTAATAAATTCACTGACCTATAAAAGTGCCAACCACAATTTGAGCAAAAAGATAGCTATTCCCTTGTCTCCTAGAGGTCTGAACCTGCTGAGGAGTCTCCTTGCAAGGATCAGTTGTATGGAACACTTGTGGGTGATCTTAAGTCCTCTCTTTGTCCTGAGAGGAATTATGAAGAGCCAGTCTTTGAAGTCTTCAGAGCCTCTCCACTAACACCAGCTCTTTATTCCACTGCATTCACACACACACACCCCTTTTTTTTTAAGAATTTGAGGACTGGCTTATATGATTTGATCCTATTTTGTTACAGTTATCTTCTGGTTTCAAGATTAAAACAATGTATTCTGTGTTGATTTTTGAAATACATTGTAAAATTAGAAGATATCAGTACATTCCTTTAATTCTATTAGGAGCAGCTGATAGAGGAAGAATTGTAAGAGATCTTATCCTTCAAAGCAAGTTTAAGATCCTGCAGCTGTGGCATGCCTTAGTGACAGGGTGCTTGAACTTGATTCCCTGCTGAGCAACAACATCAGTTCAAAAGGCAAATGCAGGCTGCTTTGCGACACCATTATGAATAAGTCAGCTACTTTGAAATGGTAATTATAGCTATCAGCACAGCTGTGGAGTTGTCATCAGAAAACATCATTGGTGCTAAACAATCCTATACAAGATTATTTACCTGTATTGTGTTTAGCTATAAGCACTAAAGACTGTAGACACTAAAAATTACTACTTCTATTTTACTACTACTATTCTTTAATTACCTTGAAGAAGAAAAAATTGATTTTTGTTGCGGCAGACCAAAGACCAAGAGAAATAGTGCTGTGAACTCTAGAATGGAATAAAGGAACTTCAATGTTTCTTTATTTTGACTTTCGCTGTTGCCACTCCAGGTAAAGAAAATGGACAATGTGAGATAGACAAAGTCCAGCATGCTTATTTCTACTCTGCCCCACAGGTTTTCTTAAAGCAATTTTTCTGCCTCCATAATTTAGCACTGCCCCTTCCCCCCAATTCCCAGAGCCTCTAAAGTCTCAACCACTTCGTTATGCATGGTTGGAGGCATAACAAATGGAGGGCCACAAATAGGAACCGCCACCTGTGCATTACTTTTCACAGTGGAGTATCCTTAATAAATAAAAGTACAGTCGAAGATTATTTGGAAATGCAGTTGTTAACTTTTCCCAATTTTCTCTGTTTCAATAGACATGGCAGCTCCAATAGTACAGATGACTCACCACAACCAAGTGCGAGAGCCTGTGCCCTACACTATTTTATCACAGCATGAGAAAGTAAGCAATCATATTCATGTAAATATTTATTACCTAACAGGTATAAACTGCTGTTTCTGAATAATGTAACATATGTATACAGCCGACTGTCATATTTTTGGATATAAAGAGGAAGAATTGTTGAATAAAATCATACAATGTTCCTGGTTTCCTTAAGTGTCCATGATTTCACCCAAACTAGTTTTAGCCATCATTAAGTTTCTACCAAATTTGTCTGAGGATACATCCTATTATATTTCTGCTCAAAAGTAAACCTCATCACTTGCAGTAAAACAATAGAGAACTACAGCCTAAATAACCTACCATGCAAATTATTCCAGAGTAAGATAGCCTAATAATTTTCAGAATTCAAATCCTGACAGTTTGTTTGACCATTTGGAAAGATTTATTAGGATTGGAGCCCAAAAGATGATTTCTTTCCCAGAAATCCACTTTTTTTACTGTTTACTATTTCAATTTTAATGATGGCAATGTTTTTAAACCAGTTATATTTGTAGCCTGTGTTAACTTTGTTTCAGTCTGTTTATATTAAGAACACATGGTGCCTTTTGGGATTCTTCTGGACCAAATGTGCAGTGTAGATTATGGCCAAGCATGAACCCCTCAAAAACATTTTAAAAGGGACTAATGAAAAACAAAAAATAAGCTGTCTCTGCTTTTAGATGCTTTGAAATTTCAGCTTATACTGATAAAAAGTAAAATGAAGTATTAGGAAAGATATGTTTTGCATTTAATTTGCACAATAAAATAGATACACACATAGATGCAAACATGCATGCACACAAACACACACAGATTTTACTTAAACCATTTACATCAGTTATGTGTATTGGAATAGTAACATTACATATAAATATTTCTCCAAATTTGTATTTATTTTTTTAAAAATGTGAAAAAGCAGATTTTATTCACCTAACATTTCCTTAAAAAATTATATCACTTGTAAAGATATCAAATTTGACTCCAATAATGTAATTATCTAGATTTTAAAACTCATAAACCTTGTTATACTGTTGATATTTCTTCCCCGGGCAGTAAATCACTTCTCTTCCTTCTTGGTTCAGTGCGAGGAAACAACATATGAGGAACGCTTATACCCTGCTGGGAAATGGGCATGCATTACCAAAGGAGAACCCAAGTATGAGCAGAGTACCTCATTGGGTTTCATGAAACTTATAAGATACATCTGCAAAGAGAATTCCCTAGGTATGTATAAACTAGTTAATCAGATTAATTAGAACAATTAATCAGTGGAACAACTTGCCTCCAGAAGTTGTAAATGCTCCAACACTGGAAGTTTTTAAGAAGAGATTGATAACCATTTGTCTGAAGTGGTTTCCTGCCTAATCGGGGTTGGACTAGAAGACCTCCAAGGTCCCTTCCAACTATTCTATTCTATTCTATTCTACTCTACTCTATTCTACTCTATTCAATTTTACCCTATTCTACTCTACTCTATTCTGCATGGGGAGATGTAGAAGTTTACATGACAGGATTAATGGGGTTTGGAAAAACAAGGAATGGATTTACCTAGGTTTACCTTTCGTAACTAGTATTTCTACCTATATTTTTATCCAGGCCAGCACTTGGGGATGACAGTACCAGTGATTAATGAGATCCACCTGAATAAGGAGAGTACTGAATTGGTCCAAGAAGTCATCACCGCTTATTATCTTCCTCAGGAATTTCAGCTTAATCCTCCTCTCCCCATGGATCCAGAAATCCAAATCCTAGAAAGATCACCACTTCAGGTTATCACCAGGTGAGTCCTGATGGACTTGGGCTATGCTTTAGATCCAAACAGCCTTTTAAGTAGAGCAGGAATCAATTTGCTTTTTATTTTTAGGTAGGAAAGAAAGTATGCATGCCTGGGAAAATAGTTTCTAAGTAAAAGAAAATATGCCTCTGGTTATATAATGGAAAAGGGAAAGGATCTTGTGGAGAGACTGGTTCTTTCTTAGGCCAGTTTTCCCCATATTTAAAAAAAGATTATGAACCATGCATTGATTTGATGGGTAGGTAGGTGGGTGGTGAATGGTGGATAGAGGGGAAGGGAGCAAGACATTAAATACAATATATTTATGTTTTGTTGTTATTGTTTTGTTGTTAACTTTTTGTAAAGGGAGTTTTATGGGCCAACTACTGAGGAGACAATCCTGCGAGAGATTCACTTTCTTTGGGAGTTACTGGGCTCGACAGATAATGTGCTCCGTGAAAGGTACTTGGTGGCAGCATATCAGAACCCTAGTATACCTAATCGTCGCAATGAGATATGGTTTATCCGGAAAACAGACTGAAAGCATCATGGATTTCTGACAAGTTTGTAATCCAGTGAATTCAGTTTAGATGACAGTTCTAGCCTGAAGGAGACAAATGCACTTCCCAACTTACTCTAGAACTGACCTGATGACCCATTCCTTTTCCTTGAGGGCATTAAGGAATTGTGTTCCCTCCTATGAGTTCAGAAATGGGGGGAAACAAGACCATGGAAAAATAGTATGGCTTTCTAATGGTCCTGGAGGGAGCTGGCACTGGAAGAATCGATGGATAGCTGCTTCATTGACTTTGAAATTTGTCTATGCGGTGCTGAGTCAGAATGCATCAGAAATTGCAACTGTTCAGCAATCCACATCTGGTATTTCAAACATTCTGAATTCTTCTGGAAATGAATTTGGAATGTCAGTCTGTAGCTGGATGGGGGCATAGCTCATAGTTTTACTTACTTAGAGAGAGAATTTAATTTCTGGGCAAGACGCTATATCTTTAACCATGTATATGAGATACTTTTAATCACCTCTGTTCCAGCTTGATCTGGAATAATTTCAGCCTTTCTTAACTGGGTTGATTTGAATATATCCTACAAAGCCCCTCCCAGGAACAATCTCCCCTGAAGAGAAGATCTGAGAATTAGAGATCAGAGAAATCCTCTTCTGTTTTTCAAGAGTGGTATAACACCTGTCCCTCTGTGACCTCACTACCAACTGGAATTGTATCCATGGATGCTTCTAGACTGATTACTGCTTTCATTTTTCCCTCCTTCATAGACATTTTTCTATTAATAGAAGTAAATGGAAGCTACAGTGAAAAGATTTAGGACACTTATCAATGAAAAACTTGATTATATGGACCCTAGACTTCTTTTTATTCTCTTAATGAACAAGGTAATTGCAAAATAAAGGCCATATCTAAAAGCATCCCATCATTTTGCAAGGTGCCCATTGAGTGAGCCATATATTTATTGGAAGTTATAATTGGCTGCATTGTTACATTGCACTATTGTGATTGGTTGATTTTATGACCAAGAAAGTTGCTGTCTTCTCTGAAGGAGGATAAATAGCACAGAGCAATTATGAAATAAAATCTAGCTCAAACCCCTCTGATGCTTCTTATTGAGTTACATGGCATCTGATGTTATTAGATTTTTATCTCACCTTTATAAATAAGAGAGGTAATATACATAATACACCTTCTTTCTCTTCTTTCCCCCATAACAACCCTATGAGGTGGGTTGATCTAAGAGACGTGGCAGGCTCAAAGTCAGTAGACTAGACTTCACAGTCTATTTTTTAAAGTACAGAAATAGTTGTTATATAAAGAACAAATGATGTTTGGAACAGGAACACAGATTTTATATTGTAACTGTCTTTTAAATGGCTATATTTTTGAAAACTACTTAGAATGTCTCTTGACTTCTTACATATCTCTAGTGGAAATCAGATGAGATCTAACTAGATATAGTGGAACTCTTTCTGTCATCAAGGATGATAAAATGTATTATATCTTCTATTCATCTACCAGCATAATCCATATACAGTAGCCACTGATCTGTGTAACTTCCCACTCCATAAGGCTTCAAATTCAATTTATGGTCCTTCCCTCAGTGTAAATGAGCATGTTTTATATTTTTAGAAACTATAACTTAATTTTAGTTGTATTATACAGATATTCACAGTTGCAGAAATTAGTACATATTCTATCACTTTCATTTAATTAATTTAATACTGTGCAGCTATAAATCAGCAATATCTATAATTCTTTGGTGATAAAGTATTCTCTGCTTATCTGGCTGTGGTATAACATGGATTTAATAAACCCTGATCATTTTGCCATTTACAGCAAAACAGCAAAGTTTTATTTTTAAAATACAATTTAAAAAACTTTTAGAAGTGCAATATTTAAAAATGCTCAGGGGCCTTTCAGAGACTAATCAGGTATTTCAGAGAAAATGCATTTGTTTAAATGATGATCTAACAGGAATGGAAAAGGAAACAGTAGAAACATGCATTTTGCAAATACAGAAGGGAGTAGTAAAATAGGTTGGGATTATACTGAAAGCAACAATGCATACAAAATGCAGACAATAAATGCTTTTGCTGTATTAGCAAATGCCAAAGATACTTAGCAAAAACAATGAAATAATCCAAGAATTATCTGTTTGTTTTAGATGAGTAAAATATATGGATTATTTCAAGATTTTTAGGTCTATGATTTTAGATAAATCTTAATGGAAGAATTATTTTAGTACATATGAAACACTAAAACTAGTGATGGCAAACCTATGACATGCATGTCAAAGGTCACAAGCCGCAACCTTTTTGGTGATACACCAGTATTCACAAACACCCAACAACTATTCTTGATAGCATGCCCCTTTTTCATTGGAGGCTGCACAAGAATGGGGTATGCTCTCACGCAGCCTCCAGAAGTTGTATGTGAGGGCCTTGTTCTCGACCCTGGAACCTCTGAAAATCTCATGGGAACAGAGCATGCTTTCCACAATTTAAGAGCACGCTGCCTGAAGATCAGTGGAGCACAGCATAACTTGGGGACCGCTGGGCCATGGGGTCATTTGCACCATTCCCCAAGGCTTGTGTACCTGATGATGGCACTTGGGCTGAAATCAAGGTCTAGTCCTCAACTTCAGGCCCAGCCTCAGTGCTGCTACCGAGCGCCACTGTTCAGGGTGGCCTAGATGGCAGGAAGATATAAAATTGCCTAGGGAGATTCTCAGTCATCCATGTCATGGTTGTCCCAAAGGTACTTTTTTCCAGAGGCAACTGGACTTTCTGATTTTTCTTTGAAGACGTTTCGCTTCTCATCCAGAGTTGAAGGAGCTTCTTGGATGAGAAGTAAAACATCTTCAAAAAAAACCCAGAAAGTCCAGTTGCCTCTGGAAAAAAGTACCTTTGGGATAAGATAGAAAATTGTTTCTCTTGTTTGGTGGGAAGTTGATATGCCAGCCAAATCAAGTTAGGCATTTTCCTAACTGCCGTGCCTGAAATAATTGCCATTACTGCCCTAAACTATAAATTAATTACAAGGATTCAGTTTGCAAAATATACTAGGATATACACTATTATCTGTATATACTGTATATACAGTAGACACATATACAATGTAGCTGACTGATTTGGGGTTCATTTTTTCATGCAAACAACATATTTGTTTGTAGAAAAACCAAGTTCATGTCACTATTTTGAGTTCAGCAATTAGAAATAAAAATGCAGTTAAGCATAACTACATATTCAATAGCAGCTGGAATAACACTATATAGTGCAGGATTAAAACATTTGACAAAATCCACCTCATGCTATAACTCAAACCAGTCCAAGATGTGTCTGATTATTCTGAATTAGTGAACAGTCCTTTGGCTCTAGGTCATTTGTCTGTCTCTTCTCACTGGCTGCAATTCTAAATTCTTGGAGACTGACTAGACAAATCCCTGTAGTTTTCTTGGCAAGGGAAGAAATGGTTTGTATTTGTCTAAAGCCCATTAACTGGAAGTCCTTTTTAAATGTTTGAATTGTGTATCCTTTATTTTCATTGCAGCTATAGATTTCCACAATCATTGATAGTTTCCTAACCACAGCACAGAGCTTCCAAATCTTGGAAATTGAATGATATACTGTATAATTGGCATTTAACCATCTATGACCCTTACATACGTGAGAAAAATTTAATAGGTTCTTACCTTTAGCAAACTCAATGTCTTCATAAATCCCTTTAAAAAAAAAACTCGGGAAAAAGAAACTTCAGCTTACAAAATGCCCTTATTTCCTATTTACATTTTATAAGATCTAACTAAGGATAGTGTACATTTGTTCTTTATTATGTGAAAGAGAAGTAAAGGGATTCAACAGTAATTTCCAAGTTTTTGACATATTAGTGTGAAATTCTAAATTGTAGTGTTCTGGAAGGAAGAGGAATCAAGACTTTGGCTTGTGAAGCATTGACCCTTTTCACCCTTTCGTTGCACTCTTACACCTATTTCAACACGGCATTACAGTGGAAGATGGAAACAAAAGCATTATTGATGACTTCTGTTACTAAAACATTCTAAGAGAACAAATAACTCATCCATTGAATTAAAATGTTGGAATGAAAATCACAGATTTTTCAAGAAATTTTTACTTTCAGAGTGAATGATTTGTCTCTTGAAAGAGAAAAAAATTAACCATGGTAGCAAATTGCATTAAATTATCTGGCCTAGAGAACAGAATGCTTATATAGAATTACAATCATCCGGCTTAGTGTATTCCAATCCATGACAGACATATCTGAGGACAAAACTAATATGAATGAAAATTAATAGATCTTACAAAACACAGAGTTGACCAAAGTGCCTTTGAAACTCTAAAGTTCTTTAAACACAGAGATTTTACTTCTCATTATTATCAAATACAATAGAATGGGCAGGATGACCATGGCTAAAGGTTGCTGCAGTATAGTCCAACTGAACAATTTGAATAGCAGAAACTGCCTTGGATCAGAGTTCTTCAAACTGTGTTCCATGGAACCATACGATTCTGTAAGAACTTGATGCAGCTGAGTGAAAGAAATAAGGGGAAACCCAAAGGTGTTTCTTTCCAAAAGGCAACTGGATTTTCTTGGGTTTTTATTTGAAAATGTTTTGCTTCTCATCCAAGAAGTTTCTTCAGTTCTTGAAGAAACTTAAAGAAACTGTAGAAGTTTTTTGGACGAGTAGGAAACCTTTTAGACTCCAAGGACAAGGAAAAGTATACTCCCACAAAGCCATTTTTTGGTCAGTACAGCTTTGTCTCTTGATGAGGGTTTCTAGGAATGTTTTTCCATTAGCAGGTTCCATGGGCTGAAAAAATGAAACTCCTGCTTTCGGCCACCTTTCCTTCTACAGTACATACTACCTTTGTAAGAAAGGCCTTTACATCAATTGCTCTGAGATCAAAAGCCCATTTCTCCTCTTTACATAGAATTCAAAATATTTCCTTGCTGAATATTTGACTTTTTAAATATAATATAGCTAATAGCAATCAGAGATAATATTTCACTACTTCTTCTCCACTAACTGTATCTATTTCACTGGAAGATTCCCCCCCCCCCCCGCCAAGCAGTGAACCCAACTTTTCCACTTTGATAAAGATAAGAAAAGATTAAAGAGCCAATAATTTATTAGATAATCATATTGATTATGTGATTTGTTTTTGTTTATAGTACAGCAAATCTAAAATAATGACACATAATACTAATTGCTTTTTCCCCAACAGGGAATGACAATCCTTAGACTGAACATTAAAATAAACAGCTGTATCCTAGTTCTGTTATTACCATGGGATATATATTTAATAAATGAATAAGTAAAACTCTATTCATCTACACTTGATAACAGAAAAAGAAATATTACAAATTTGTAAGCAAATGACCCTTTATTCTGCCGTTTTCCAAAGCAGCATGTGAACTCCCTAAGTAACAAAGGCCATTTACTACATGGTAAGTATTTTGTGAAAACATGAACAAGGGTTATAATCTTTATTGCCTCTTCCCTAGTTGCAAGCCTGTAAAGGAAATAGGGTTGTCACCAGCCCTGCTGTTCTCAGCTTGAGATAATAAAGAAATGAAATAGGACACAGAAACCTTTGATGTTCCCAGCCAAGTGATCAGAGGGAAAACCTTTGGGGGCCTGGAGGCTAGTTCCTTTCATGAGTTAGCAGTCTCTTGTTAAGTGTCCTCAGAGAAGGAGACTGCAATGTCATGTAGTAGGCTAAACAATACACCATACAGGTGTGACATGAATGTTGTATACAGAGTTTTAAACAATTGATTTTAAGACAATAATCAGATGTCTTGATTAAATTGTAGTGTTTTATTAAATGAATCTAATGGCTACTATTCCACATTTGGACAAATAATAAATCAACTCTGTGGGATAAGATGGTACAAATTAATTAACTGCATATTCTATCATAGCATATCATATGAACTCTATTTATAAATTGGCCCACCAACAGTTACACATTAATAATGTTGAATTTTTAGCTTGTAAATGTTTGGAAATCTTGTTATAGAAGAACAAGACTATGAACTAGAAAAACTGTTATTAGTGCTAATAGCAGTACTTATCAGATGATTGAGAGGAAATTAAAATGATTTTATTACTTCCTCAAGGGTTTGTGGTTTCCTTCTCCAAAGGACATGCTTTCCTTTATCCCTGCTATAAAAACTAGACCTAAAGTCTGTTCCTCTTTCAAACAGTGGTTACACATGGGTAGTTCTTTTTCTTAAGTAGCTACTTCTATGTAGTTTCTAGTACCAATAAGAAGTTTTTATCCTTTTCCCCCTTGAAATTAAAAAAAAACACACAAATTGCAAAAGTATAGGAAAGTTAAAACTAGAGTTGTGTTTGGACTCTGTAAAATTAATGTGGCATTATTTCATAATGGAAGCTTAGTACAGGATACACAAGCACATATACAATTATGTTTTTCACAGCATTATTCCTAAGCATATTAGTATTATTCTATTTAAACCACTGAATAAATAACTTGATATAACGTATTTACATTACTTTGATGCACAATAATTCTCACATTTATTTACATTCCTTGAGCTTGGAACTTCCCATCAAGAGCAATCATATATGTTAAAGCTACATAAATGTAGCGGTAAATGTACAATTTTTTAAAATCTTGCCTCTGTAAACTGTTTTGTAATAAACCCAAACTAGAATTGCCACAAGGTGAAACTTATTAGCTTTATCACTAGGGGTCCCCTCAAAAAATGTATTTCCCTGCAACATTTATGCATTACAGCAAGGGTGTCAGACTGAAGGGCCGGGGGCCAGATCTGGCCCGCAGAAT